TAGTCTTGAGACTTGAAGTCGCGTTCTCAGCATGAGAGTTGTTGAATTTCTTTTCACGCTCTTCATTGCCTAGCCAAGCAGGAAGTGTCATCTCACAGAAGCTGGCAGAGGTCACTGTTTTAATAACTATTGTTAATTGATGCTTCTGAAAAGCTTTCTATCAACTTGAATTTGCTACCTGCAGAGACTTGCTCAGCAGGTAGCTGAATCAAATTAAAACTTTAATTCATTGATTAGTAAAACGCACTAGAACTGTGACTACCTTGTATGTTTTAAAATACAATATTCTTCTGGTCAGGTTGCCTGAAAACTATTCAGGCTCTTTATAAAATGTGTAAGACTTAAAATCCTGCCACTGCTAAAAGCCTTAAGTTATATATTGAGTCTGGTTCTGCAAAAACCAGCCGTTCCATAGGTCTTAGTAAAGTGCAGGCAGGCGCTTTGCACCGATGCCTTTATTAGCTATGTAGAAAAGACTCTGCAGGATCAACCCCTACTTCTGAAATATCAGACATGTGAAAAAAAATTATTAGCTGTCTTGAAAAATAGTAACTAAAAGCCAAAAAACCAAAAATCTGGGAGCAAGTAATCTACTAAGTGGGAGAATGTGTGGAGATTTTCCCTGATTGCTGTCCAGGATATCAAGAATCCAGATTTAACAGATTGGTAGAGTTTCTCTTTGTCTCATATGTCGTGTTTTTTCCACTGAGTGTATGGGAAAGATTACGCTCTTTTGTATTACAAATGTGTACTTGTCTCTCTCTCTTTTTCTGTTTTCCCAAGATCATTTAGTGAAATTTTCTTTCTTCTGAAAGACCTCCTTAGAAAATTATTAATACCTATATTTCTAATTTTTAAATTGTTGTATTGAGTGGAAAAAATGAACAGCATGCAAGTTAAACACTGTGTGGGATAAATGCTATTTAAATCTTGTCTAAGCTGTTAAACATCACACTAACATCGGATTGCTGGATCTAATCCAGTAAAAATAAATAAAAAAAAAATGAAGAAGAGAGGTCACATTAGATAACTAAGCCATCTGTCCAGTGTGGAATTGAAAGGCATTTATAATGGATTACTTTCCTATATTACTGTCTTTTGGGGGGCCTTTGTGTGAATCAAAGAGATGTTAGAAAACCGTTCATCTACAAAGATGGTTCCTGAATTATTTCTACCTTGTCAACTTGATGTTTAGTTTGAAACTTCTCGTTTAGCATTTTCCATAACTAATTAGTCCCTTATAAATACTATTTTCTAACTGGCTTCAAAAGTGTCTTCTGTCTGTTCCAGGCATTGTATTGTATTCTTCTAATAAGGGACTAAAGGATTTATGTAGACACAAAATGGCAGAGAGGTTTTTCAAAGAATATCTCTGTTGCTTTATTCCAGTGTTGATTTTTCTGCATGTTCATAACACAACTTCATTTGGAGCATAACATTTTGAATTAATGTTAGTCATTGCTAACGTTCATGAAGTAGAATCTTGTGTTTTGACTTTTGCAGTATTAATATAGCATGTTCGTGGAAGAAAGTATTCTACTACATTAAAATGAAAACAATCTATAGTGTTGACAGCCTTGAAGAGCATCTGATGTCAGGTCTGATCTTACTGGCACATTCAGATACATACTGCTGAATGATACCATTTATCATTTTTAAAATGTCATTTTCTGTCAAAAATATAATTTTAAAACTTTCTCAAAAATAATGAATCTGTGTCGTGGAGGAGAGAAGGACAAAATGAAATTGGAGAGGGAAATTGGTACAAATTTTGTATATGGAGAGTTTAAATACTGTGCTGTAATTGAATATGTAGACTACTGGGTATGATTTCTGCAGTCATTTGTGGTCTGTCTTTAAACCTTTTGGAGCACCCTTTGCCTCATAGAGGAGCAATAGGGAGGGAGTTTGTCTAGGTGCTCTATTCAACCCTTCCTGGGTGGAACAATGTTCTAGGTCAAGAGAGGATGCTACTACCATATAACTTTAGCTGGTATTTATTTTTGAGAATCCCATGATTATTTTTTTCTTAAGATGAAGATATGCCAAATGGTTGAGCAAGTCTATTTCCATTTGCTTTTCTCTGCTTTGCGTTATTTCTCCTGGGTTTGTAAATGCTCATTCCAACCAGCATCTTTTATAAGTACAAGAAAACTGAGATGTGGTAAGTACGTTAAAAGTTAGAAGTGCTTATTGGCAAAGTAAAATTAGACTTTTCTCCGTCTTCAATTGCTACGCCTCTCTGGGACTGTGTAAGAGGTTCTGTAACATAAATAGGAACTATCATATTTTTGAGCTGAAACTGATTGGGCAGAGATGTGTAAATTGTGACTCTGCTTATTTTGGCACTAAATTAATGTATTTCAGTTCTGTAAAATGAGTTCCAGAGAGTAGCTTTTTCTCTGACCCTCTTTGCAGCCAGCCTCAGGAGTGCACTTTATCTTGTCTTTATCATACGTTCTTCAGTTTTCTCTAAAGTCGTCACTAGTTACACTTTTACATTACTTTGCTGCATCTGATTTATCATATCCATCCCTTTGCAAGATGTTTTACCAGATGTCCTCTCTGAAGGGCATAGCTGTAGAAGAATTTTGCCTTAGATTAGGTTGTTTGTCATTTTATATTTGAGGCCGCCATGTAGTCAGGCTAATTTAGTAATTATATATGCATCTTTGAAGAATCCTTCTGTTGTGATGTGTCCTTAGGAAACCCTGTTGTCTACTTGAAAAAAGGCAAAGGGGCAAAATAATGCTACATACATCAGTGCTCTTTTATTACATTGATCTGGGATTTTCTCTGACACCCTCTTGACTGAGAAGAGAAAGCAAAAGGCTCCTGTGTGGAGGGTCCTGGTGGAGTTGCTGAGCCTTGCTGAAGTAAAATGTATTTCATTTTAATTTTCTTTTTTTGTCAAATGACCTATGAAGAGTGATACAACATTAACAGGCTTCTAAGCCCAAAGTATCTTAGTAACTCATCTTTAAGTTCTTTCAGGAGCTGGTTAATACAAATTAGAAAATTTCTGTTTTGCTGTACGTTTGATTTCGCTGAAAGGGAAGACTCTTCACGAGGTCCCTGTGAATTCCCTGCACTGCCTTATCCTGCTCAGATAGTACGAAGTGACAGTTGGGTTTGAGTCAAGTTTTAAGGCAGGTGGTCAAGACAAGTTTTACATTTAACAAATGATTATATCCAAGAAAGAGTTGAAGAACTGATTACCTCCAAGCCAGCCTGGATCACATTTTCAAAGGATAAATGTACGTGTCCACTGGCATTTTTCAGAAGGACCTAAGCAGATTAAATGCCCAAGCCCAACTGTTGTTTATGTAATTTAAAATTACTTGGCTTTTTCCTTCCTTAATGCATATAGACTGTGACAGTGTCTTATTTTATGTAACTTCATTTTTTTTTTTGTTTTAACTTATTATTGCCCAAAGCTTGGAAGATTAGAAAACTTAAGTTATGCAATGGTCTGCATCATAGCGTGCAAGGCGAGAAGACACGAGAATTTATTTGTGGAGCCTGGTAATTGTGTTTATGAAATAGTATGAACTCTCATGTTGTATAAAAAAAAAAAAAGCATGGGATTGAGTGCCGTTTAAAATCACTGAGGTGCGTCCTGTCCGTGTGTAACTCACTCATCCTGAAGCAGTGTCTTGCGCGTCTCCTTTTTCACTGTGCTAAGGAAGTTCTTGGCTTATGGATGTTTTGACTTTGCTTATCAGCAAGTGAGCTGTTAATGAGTCATTCCAGTGAATGGGGGAAGGATTTTCTGCACGAGAGGTGCAGATTAAGATTTTTATGCAAAATTGTCATAACTAATTCCATTCTTTTGTTACTTTTCAAAGGGAGCTGACTCTACCAGCTGTGTAAGTGTAGCTTTCTTGATGTTATTTTATTTTTTCTGATGATTTTTAATCCCTTGCAAAGTAGCAATTGGAGCATAGAACCTCATTGTTTTTTGGGGGCGGCGGGACTAGCAACTAACATTAGAACTGAATGACTTTGAAGAGCAAGAATTCAACATTTTTTGTCTTTTTTTTGCGCAGGCTAAAGGGAAATAATTAGATTGTTCAGTTTTACTGTTAAGCTAACTGGAGCAACCAATATTTCCAAAATCTTTTTTTCAGAGCACTGATATGGGCTCACATGTAATCAGTTTTATCAATAAATTAATTCATGGATCTGATGGAGTTGCAGAGTTTGTAGATGCATATGATACCAAGGCAGCAGTGCCCCTGCCTTCTCTGCATTCTTCAGGAGAACTAAAAGTAGGACTGGAGGACAGATGAGGGCACAGATGATACAGACTGTCCTGTAAACTCTGCTAAAGCAAATACTGTGCATTTTAATGTGTCCAGAGGAATGGCTGAAGGATGAGACATGCCCATGGGATGGGGCAATGTGTCCTGGGAAACAAGGTCTCTGAAAGGAAGGTTTTGCTGTTAATGGATGTCAGCTCTTAATACGATACCAGGAACCAGGACAAGTGTATTCCTGCTCCCTTTGGCCTGCAAGAGCAGAGGGATCCTACCCAGCAGAAAGGATGTTATTTCACCTCTGTGTTTGATCACCCCAGGGAAGCTCCTGGAATGTGCTAGCCAGTTTTAGGGTCACCCGTGCGTGAAATAAATTGGAAAGTTTCAGAAGAAAAAAAAAGTTTGAAGACTGAGAAAATCTCTATCTGTTTAGTTTATCAAAGAGAGGGTAAGGAGGTGACAACCTATGAATTCTTACGCTGGAAGAATTATTTTGATCCTTCAACTCCCTGAGGCAAAAGTATAGAAATATATTGGCAAGAGTTTGAGGGTGACAGATTTGGACTAAAAATTGAGTGAGTGCATGTTTTTAAGAGCAGAGTAGTTTTCAGAACACCTTACATAGGGCTTTGGTTTGTTTCCTCTTATCAATAACTTTTTGAATTATGCTTAATTCAGGAAAGCCTGAGTCTGTGGCAAAGAGCATGTGTGTTAATTCTATTGTTTTGGTTTGTTTGGCAGATATGTTGATGATGTGATCAATCGCATTGATAGGATGTTCCCTGAAATGTCCATCCAGCTATCCCGGCCAAATGGGACCTCGGCGATGCTTCTGGTGAGTTGGATCATTTAATCCCTTGAGATGGATTTCTTAAGAGATTGAATTACTGTTCCTAAAATGCAGGTTATTAAAGATTATTTTTTTCCAGAAACATACTGTTCTTCATTTGTCACAGGATTATAGGATCTTTCTTGCTCTTAGGCAAATGAGCGATAAAAAGAATTTCACCTTTAAAC